TGGGAAAAAACTTAATTTGAATCGATGGAACGCTCATGGTTGGAAAGAGCCTCTGAGAAGTATCAAGTTTAGGCGTATAGATGTGTTGAAGAGAAAGTGGTCTTTTTAAGCGCCATCACAAGTGGTACTGAATCCCTCACCCTCAGGCCACTTGATTACATTCTCCAGGAACACTGACAAGCACCACTCATCCAGCTTGGTAAACACCCCAAGGGAAGGATTGCTATCATACACCATGAACACGAGGGACAGTTTTGGTGACAAAATGAAGAAATAATGTGATTTTGATCCAAAAAAAACATGAATGTGTACAGTTCCGAGATGAAAGGGAATTAGATGAAATAAAAACTTGGAGTAGTTCAGGCTGGAAACTTACCTGTGGTAAATTGGCCACTAATCTCCATTATGAATTGTCCTGCTCATTGTGCCACGAAGGATTTCTTGACATAAAAATCTTCAAACGTACTAGCCAATATATAATAGTATTGGCATCCAGATCACTTTGGCATCCAACAAGGCACTGAAAGTGTGTGGCTAAGTGTCTGGTTTCAGTGTCACATTAATGACCTACATCAGGCGAGGACCTTGCTTCTCCCCTGGCCATCTCACAACGTGATACAGTGTATCCTTCACCATTATTGATGGGCTTCCATGTAATGCTGCCCCATCCGGCAGCTGTCAGCCGAGACAAGCCAAGTGTCCATGTGCCTCCACAGCACATTCCCGACCATGATCGCCGCCAGGGAAATGTGCTTCTTCCATGTCGGATCAGATACTCCTATGTTAACAACATTGTCACCAATCGTGACATCTGCAAAAACGTCAAAATCATCAACATACTCTTACATCATCAACCTCAACATCTTAAACATCTGCGTCGATAATATCTCCAGAAAACCAGAACATATTCCTTCATATCCTATACCTTCTTATATCCCCACCACCGGCATCACCTCCATCACCAACATCATCAGCGTCTTCAACACCCCCTTCAGCAGCTACATCAACTGACGACGACAAGTCAATGACCAAGGGGTCCCCAGGCACTGCTGGTGGAATCGGGACCCTCGGAGACCTAAATGTGCAACTGTACGGATCAAACTGCACTTATTACACTGCTCTGTGCCAGATTGTAGACAGCCTCTCAAGGAGTCCGTTATAAAGTGGAACACAAGCAATCACAATGAAAGGCCTGTTCATCATAGCCACCATCAATCATCTCCGAGGGTGCATTACACAGGGATTGGCTGGAAACAAATTGTCTAACAACATGCCCATTTCTTACTAATATCTTAAGAATATAATTCTTTTATACATCATTTCAAATTGTACAGTGAACACTGCTTTTTGCAGAGATTCATTGTGATTATAGAAATTCATCATCATTGTTATTTTTATTATCATCATCATCATCATCATCATCATTATCATCATCATCAACATCATCATTATTATTACCATCATTATCATCATCATCATCATCATCATCATTATCATCATCATCAACATCATCATTATTATTACCATCATTATCATCATCATCATCATCATCATCATTATCATCATCATCAACATCATCATTATTATTACCATCATTATCATCATCATCATCATTATCATCATCAACATCATCATTATTATTACCATCATCATCATCATCATCATCATCATCACCATCATCATCATCATTATTATTATTATTATTATTATTATTATTATTATCCCTATTATGACATTTTGTCCACCACCATCATTAATATGGTTATCATTATTATCATCATCAACCTCCCTAATCACCGTCATTATTATTTTTATCATTATTATGACATTTTGTAAAAGAATATTTATTTGAACCCTGCCAATCAGTGAGGTAATTCAACTATCTAAGGAAATCCAATCTCTCTCTACCTTAACAATTTTCAAATATGTTGAGGACAAGCAAAGGATTTGCTAATATCAAATGTCTTGAAGCCTAACACTGAAGTCTTCTTGCAGGACATATTTTCATTTGGTAAGCTGCCAACGAGGGTAATTAATCCACCCTTTGCTGCCTCCTGCTGGCTAAACCCCCTTTCATCCATCTTACCCTTCTTAGAAGAATAAGCTAAAAGCCTTGCAGTCCATCTCAGGTTGATGAATCAATTCACCAAATATATATGAAATGCTTTGTTTCAGAGAGTTAGTGAGAAATCTAATCACATGCATTGAAATCTGTTCCTAAGCCGTGGGATCCTTTCTCCACAAAAGAACTGGCATTGGCAGAATAATCATTGAATTTTTTTTTCTTGTTTTCGCCTTTCATGTTACTGGCTACAAGATCACATGGGTGATTTCTCTGCCTGAGAAGGTCCTGGATCAATGGCATCAAATGGTGAATCATTCCACTTCCCTCACTTCTCACCACCTGTGACCCACAGAGGGCCTGGCATGTAATACAGGGGGACCTCCCCGAGTGCTCGTCCACTTTATAGCACCCTCCCAAGGGTGCAAAAACTATTTTTTAGGGGGTCTGTCATGTGTCACAAGGGGGAGCCCTCCCCAAACGCTCATCCTCTTTATTGCACCCTCCCAAGGGATGCAAAAACATATTATTTAAGGGTCTGTCATGTGTCATGGAAGGAAACCCTCCCCAAATGCCCATCCATTTTTTAATGACCCTCTCCAAGGATGCAAAAAATAATTTTTGGGGACCTGTCATAGAAGGGTCCCTCCCCCATTTCTTCTCCATTGGCTTTTCCACTCTCCTCCAAAATTGAATTAAAAAATTATGGTGGTTAATTTGTCTCGACACACCGGAGCCTGGATTCAATTTCCCAGATGCATAAAATTCATACAGCCATGTTTGGTGTTCCAGATAGTGACATTGCTGGAATATTGTGGAAACTGTTTTGAAACTCACTCACTCACTCACTCACTCACTCTCAAAGGACCATCAAGTGTTGTCACAAGTCTAATACAAATAATATTAATTGACCAATTTTCAATAAAATAATCATTTTTGTCCTGACCATCCTTCTGCCCCAAGAGAGTGGGCACCATATATAGAACAACACTACCCCCATCCTCACATGGTCAAAGACAAATAATCCATTCCACATTTACAACAGGACCAACAGATGAAGCAGAGCCACAGTCTTCTTGAAGTCCTTCAACTGTGCCCAGGGGAGATAACCCTGGCTAGCTGTCTGATCTATCGGAGAGTGATATATTAGTCCATCCCAAGTGACGATCCAGCACTTGGTGGTCTGTTAGGAACACACCCCTGGCTGTGCTAACTAAATACATGGGCATAAATGCAAGGACGCTGGTCAACAACTGTAGTTTAATCCCATTATTTATTGGTTTCAAACGGCAGGAACATTAACTGGGCATCTTGGGAGCATAGTTTCATCTGTTTCCAATTAAGGCTGAAACTGTTCAGTCACCAATCAGCTCCTGTTTGCCTTGTTATGGACACATTAGAATAAATTCCTGTTACAAAATTCCTAAATTGAAACCAAAAGCATTGTACTGTGAGCAAACTATCCTGTTACAGATGATGATATCAGGTGGGTTTAGAGCTTCAAACATATTAGACACAGTAAATGAATTTATATGTGATGTAGAAACATGCAGATGACAACTTAACGAGCACACAGACACTTCATCAAAAAGCCTAAGTTCAGACAATCTTTGCTCAGTACGGAGCCAACAAACAATAGCCTTGGAGTGAGTGAGTGAGTTTGATATTATGCCGCCTTTAGCAATATTCCAGCAGTATCACAGTGGGGGACACCAGAAATGGGCTTCACACATTGCACCCATGTCGGGAATCGAACCCAGGTTTTCGGCGTGACGAGCGAACGCTTTAACCACTAGGCTACCCGACCGCCCCCAATAGCCTTGGAAGCTGACAGACCTGGTTATTGGTATATATTGTTATGTATGTATACAGCGAGCTGACAGCAACATTCACGCAGCCCCCAGTCAGTAGTGCCACCTGCTGGCCGGATGGTTAAGCTTGACAGCAACAGATGGTACATGGAGTTGAAGCATGTCTGACCTTATCATGTTCCTCATCAGTGAGTGTGAGCTGAATAGGACAGCCATTCTATACATGATAGGGGGTGGAGGCGGGGAATCCAGTATCAGAAACACATCTGGCGGTTCCTATGTTAGTAAATATACCTGGGACATTCGTCATACTGTAAATAACTGGTTTGTCTGGTCCACACTCTTTATTTTTCTGGTCACTAGGATACAGCTGGGATATTGATGTCTATGACATTAAACAACAAGCATGAAATACCCATATCCCCGGTCAATATGACATGTACGGTTGTGTACAAGGCAAAATATTATTGTACGGTTTTCAAGATCAGCTCCAGAAAAGAGCACAACCTCCATTTTCAGTCTTAGTCATTGTTGTGGCTGTTGAAACTCAAAAAATAAATTTTTCAAAAATCCCAAGAGGCATCAGTTCACCACTAGACCTATCTATGTGCCAAGTTTGGTTAAGATATCTCTCATGCTTTTTGAGGTCTGCTCTGGAAATGAAACGTGACGGATGGACAGAAGGACGGACGGACATCACCCATTCCTATAAAAAGAGACAAAAAGACAAACTGGCCTATTGAACCTTGCTGGCCCAAGTAGAACGCCATGGAGCTTGGTCAGGAGTAATTTGGGGCACAGGGGGCTTCTCCTGGAGGCTATATCTGCTGATTCCTAAGTGGTAGTAGGATCAGGATATTGGAAGTATCGAGGCTCAATATTATCATAAAGGGCTATAGATTACAGCTGAAAGCTTTTGTTAAAAGAACCCTAAGGGCTGTTTTCAGTGCCCACAAAAACGTCTTCAAGCATGAGAGAATAGAATTGACTTCCTCGTCATCGTCAGTTGGAAACTACCTGGAGAGCCTGTGAGCGAGGTGAAGCCAATGTTCTCCCACCTACAAAAGGCTTCCATAGCTGGCTTCCCCACCCACAAAGGCTTCCTCAGCTGGCTTCCCCACCTACACATGGCTTCCTCAGCTGGCTTCCCCACCTACACCTGGCTTCCCCACCTACACATGGCTTCCCCACCTACACATGGCTTCCTCAGCTGGCTTCCCTACCTACACATGGCTTCCTCAGCTGGCTTCCCCACCTACACCTGGCTTCCCCACCTACACATGGCTTCCCCACCTACACATGGCTTCCTCAGCTGGCTTCCCTACCTACACATGGCTTCCCCACCTACACATGGCTTCCTCAGCTGGCTTCCCTACCTACACATGGCTTCGTCAGCTGGCTTCCCCACCTACACATGGCTTCCCCACCTACACATGGCTTCCCCACCTACACATGGCTTCCTCAGCTGGCTTCCCTACCTACACATGGCTTCCCCACCTACACATGGCTTCCTCAGCTGGCTTCCCCACCTACACATGGCTTCCCCACCTACACATGGCTTCCCCACCTACACATGGCTTCCTCAGCTGGCTTCCCTACCTACACATGGCTTCCTCAGCTGGCTTCCCCACCTACACCTGGCTTCCCCACCTACACATGGCTTCCCCACCTACACATGGCTTCCTCAGCTGGCTTCCCTACCTACACATGGCTTCCCCACCTACACATGGCTTCCCCACCTACACATGGCTTCCTCAGCTGGCTTCCCTACCTACACATGGCTTCCCCACCTACACATGGCTTCCTCAGCTGGCTTCCCTACCTACACATGGCTTCCCCACCTACACATGGCTTCCTCAGCTGGCTTCCCCACCTACACATGGCTTCCCCACCTACACATGGCTTCCTCAGCTGGCTTCCCTACCTACACATGGCTTCCCCACCTACACATGGCTTCCTCAGCTGGCTTCCCCACCTACACCTGGCTTCCCCACCTACACCTGGCTTCCCCACCTACACATGGCTTCCTCAGCTGGCTTCCCTACCTACACATGGCTTCCCCACCTACACATGGCTTCCCCACCTACACATGGCTTCCTCAGCTGGCTTCCCTACCTACACATGGCTTCCCCACCTACACATGGCTTCCTCAGCTGGCTTCCCTACCTACACATGGCTTCCCCACCTACACATGGCTTCCTCAGCTGGCTTCCCCACCTACACATGGCTTCCCCACCTACACATGGCTTCCTCAGCTGGCTTCCCTACCTACACATGGCTTCCCCACCTACACATGGCTTCCTCAGCTGGCTTCCCCACCTACACCTGGCTTCCCCACCTACACCTGGCTTCCCCACCTACACCTGGCTTCCCCACCTACTAATGGCTTCCTCAGCTGGCTTCCCTACCTACACATGGCTTCCCCACCTACACATGGCTTCCTCAACTAGAGGACCACGAGACAACCACCAGACGACCACTAAACCACCACCAGACAACCACTAGACGACAACCACTGGACGACCACCAGACAACCACTAAACCACCACCAGACAACCACTAGACGACAACCATTGGACTACCACCAGACAACCACTAGACGACCACAAGATGCTCACCAGATGACTACGAGCCGACCACACCTTGTAAATATTAATCAGGCCCTCTAGTGTTGGAAATATAGTGGTCTGATGGAAAATATGAATGCCTCCTTATTTTGTCTTGTGTTTTTGTCCATGAACAATTCCTTTCATGATTTCCTTGCATGACACTTGGTGTGCACTCACTCACTCACTCACTCAGCCAAAATGACACAGTCAGACAGAGAGTCTATATCCTTAGAGCTCCTAAGGTTCTACATTGGAAGGGACAGATCATATCCAAATGTACAGTTATAAGGGGTTTAAAATGTTGGTATCTTTTTTCAAGAGGACCACCAGAACGGGATGAAATGGATCAAATTATCTACCTTTTCAAGAGTTTATATTTCCACTACTGTCTTCTATGTTTACCGATTTCTTGACTTATCAAGCAAGTTCATATTTATTCATAAAATCGTTTTTGATGTGATCATATTGATATTATCAAAATCTTAGTGCGGCACTTTTGGAGCAAAACAGGGTCTGGGTTTAGAGGGCTGTGTGATACTGTGCTGGTCCATCTTTTGGAAAAATGCCAGTGTTTCAAGGCCAGCAAATATTGATTCGTATAGTGCTGGTTTGGCCATGGCAAGAATATACATATCAACATTGTTAATGAGGCACAACCATCTTTTGGGTTCTTCTCATTTCTACTGTCAGTTTGGAATAAATACATGTATCCATGAAACACCTTTCATTCTCCATAGGAATAAAAATCTAGCTGCTCAGACACATTGTGCCATGCATCTAGTAACAAGGTGAGGTTTTGGTTTATTTCTCATGTACATAATAAACTGTTCCCCCATAAACTTATTCCGATATTTGTATGAACATGATAAAAAGAAGTATTAAGACAATGTCATTTCTTAGCCCCCTGGTGATTAAACTGTCATGAATTTTCACAATGACTGACAATAGTATCAATTCCGACTGCTGCCTTTTCAGAATCACACAGCTTTTAATGTGTTTTGTTGTCTGTTAAAAATGTATTTTTATGAAGACAGCTCTCTGACGATATGCTGTAATATGATCATGTACAATGTCATCATGTGGTTCAATTGTTGTAGGAAATTGGATGTTTTTCTAAAAAGAACATAACTGAAATGAGAAATGAAGCTAAATGTTGTATGACATCTTAAAATAATGTTTAACATTATCTTGTCGCATGTTAGTGGATGAACAACTAACCGGATGTAATCTACATATGAAGGTCAAAACAAACATGTCCTTGTGATACACATTCAGACAGGGCTTTCTTTTCTGATGATGTGTATAAAAACATAAAAGCATTTTTGCTATCAGTGTATTATATCTGTCATTTGAAAGGAAACAAATTCCCATAAACTTTCACTCACAAACCCTTGTGAGAAGCACCTGTTTTGGGGAATACCTGTTTTGTCTGAAGGTCAAGGTCACTTGGGAGTTGGCCCAATAAGAATGGTTGACCATCTAAGTTTAGGTGAGGTGAGATAAAATGGGGTCTAACTTCACATCCAAGATTATTGCACTTATTAGCGACGTGCATGCACGTGTGTGCGTGGCTTCTTGTACTAGTTCGGACTGATGGAGATTTATAGTGCTAGCCCACTGAGATACCATGCCGCAGTTTAATATGAATAACCCAGTCAGACACAGTATACTGACTCCAAGCCAACCAGTCCTTGTTTTAGCCCCTTAATGCCGAGCGCCAGACAAGGTATCAACAAGTACCATCTTTTAACATCTTTTGGTATGGCGCAGCCGGGGATCAAATCCCGGACCTTTCACTCTCCGGGCGGACGCTCTACCACGGAGGCGGTCTCTAAGTTAAGGAAAGAATCCTTTCCTTTCTATGTAATTTCAGGAAGAGTGCATACATAAGTCACGCCCACTCATGAACATTGTAGACTTAAGATCATTGTAGGTTTAAGGGTGAAACACACATTCCTTCTGACTTTTATATGTTTGAAAAAAGTGAAACATTCAGTCAACGTCAGTGTATGCATGGCCATATCGTTTTATACGTGTATCTAAATACATTTTGCCAGGGCTACTGTCAAACTATTCCCAATCGGACATTTTGTACCTATCTCTTGACACCAACAGTGGGTAGCCGGGTAGGGTCGGGTAATAGGGGTGTGGGTACCCGGGTAGTAAATTTGGACTCTTCACAGCCCAACCAGAAACCTATGATTGTGGGTTCAAATCCTGGTTCGCCCCGATTATGTTTCTAGGTTTGTCAGCACCATACCCATGCTCGTGGGTTTCACCGAAGAGGTAAATGTCTGACACCTGCCCCACTTCGGGCTTTCCTCCCACATTAAGCTGACACGCTGTGATATAACTGGAATGATGTTAAAAGCGGCATTAAACCCAACTCACTCACTCACTCACTCACTCACTCACATTATCGTGTGTCGGCCACATGTGGAGATAAGTCCAATTTGATGCAGGTCGTACATATTTACCACTTTTGTGAAACCAAGGAGTATGTCATGAAACGGATAAAGCAAAATTCATAATCAGATAAAATCTTAGATTGGAACCCTTGCCTCAGTGACAGAATTCAACAGTTAATGCCTCTCTACCACCTCTACCTGTGGCCAAACGTAATATTCAGAATTCAACACCATTATAGAATTTAGTTTTCCACAGAATACCACCATTGACCAACTAGATTATACGCTACGACCATCATGTGCTGGGCTCTCGTGTATGTGAATAACTTGTGTTTAACATGTTTTGTCGTGTATTCTGTTATATCATCGCATGTCAGGTTAATTGGTAATTTGGGTGAACCAGATATTGGGCTGACTACCCAAGATCATCACTGACTCAATCTTGGATTTGAACCTCTGGTCACAGGATCCATGCAACCAAAGGGAGGTAACTCTGCATAGTGTGATGTAGCACTTTAAACCAAGAGGCCATCTTGATTTTTTAACATGGACTTTTTCTGTTTGTTCAAGAATTATTTAAAAATAAGAATAACAATCACTATAAAAAGGGATGACACTTTAAGTCCAAATGTTTATTTCAATGACCTCTGGCCGCTGTAGTGACTTCATTGAATTAGTGAATTAATTTATATGTGTATTTATGATACGCACAGTTAATCTTATCAGAAGAGTGTACTTTCCATACAACTTGGAATATATGGCAATACGAAATACATGGTGTTGTCTTCAAACTGGGTCTTGAGAGAGAGCCAGAGATAGTTTTCCCTGATAGTCTGTTTGTGGTTGCCATCAAAATGCTACAAATTCTTTCAGCAATGGCAGTCAGAGACAACTTTGAACACGCTTCAGAGGAAGCAAGTGTACGTGACGACAGAGAGTGGAATAGTTGTGTGGAAATCAGTACATCTCATCTCAAGCAAACAGGTAACAAGAAACCTAACTCATTTCAAGTATTTAACTCAATACTAGTAGGTATATGGTTTCCATGGCAACTGCAACAACAAATGCCTCTACCTCTCTCCTTCTTGTACACCTGATAAAGTTGTCTTTATGAGCTTAAGTTTCTGTTCATCCATAATTATCACATCATGAATGAAGCTGTTTTCTTCACCAAATTTCTCTCAATGTCTTTGTTTCCATTCATTTTAATTCTAATGTCTTCAAAAGCTAATCTTTTAGAGACCCGTGAAGATCCAGGGTGGAATAGGTCTTAAGCAATCCATGCTTGCCGTAAAGGGTGACTATGCTTGTCGTAAAAGGCAACTGACGGGATCGGGCGGTCAGGCTCCCCGATTTGGTTGATGCATGTCATTGAATCCCAATTGCGTGGATCAATGCTCATGATGTCCATTACTGGATTGTCTGGTCCAGACTCGATTATTTACAGATCGCCGTCATATAGCTGGAATATTGCTGAGTGCGGCGTTAAACAAGAAACAAGCAAGGTATTGTTTTAGATCTTTGAACATGTTTGCAACCTGTGCCACTTTGGACTTCCTTCCACATAAATCTGACATGCCACGATATTTCTGTGCAACCTCACAGAGGAACAGATAATCTGCAACTTTTGTAGTTTTTCGGTTATTCTCTAAATACTCGCTCAACCCAAACCTCCTTCCCAGTCCCCCCCCCCCCCCCCCCCCCTCCTCCTCTCTCGCCAAGACTTCTACAACAACAATTATTATGGCCCTGTGCCTATTTGGGGAATGGAACATACCAAAAGACATACCAATAAGAATGTATAAACTATGTATAAAATTCATTTATACAGCCTTTTGCTACATGTAATACATTTATGTATACAAATGCATTTATTCATAGCACATTCAACAGATATAGCACATTAACATGCAAACATTGTTTTGCTCAATAGTCATAGCACAATAAAATGCCACACATATCTACAGATGTGCTAACCTCTAACAACAGACACGTTTATCTACAGGTGTGCTAACCTCTAACAACAGACACGTTTATCTACAGGTGTGCTAACCTCTAACAACAGACACGTTTATCTACAGGTAAGCTAGCCTCTAACAACAGACACATTTATCTACAGGTGTGCTAACCTCTAACAACAGACACGTTTATCTACAGGTGTGCTAGCCTCTAACAGCAGACACGTTTATCTACAGGTGTGCTAACCTCTAACAACAGACACGTTTATCTACAGATGTGCTAGCCTCTAACAACAGACACGTTTATCTACAGGTGTGCTAGCCTCTAACAACAGACACGTTTATCTACAGATGTGCTAGCCTCTAACAACAGACATGACTGTCTACAGGCGGGGTGGTCGGTTAGCCTAGTGGTTAAAGCATTCGCTCGTCACGCTGAAGACACGGGTTCGATTCCTGACATGGGTGCAATGTG